ATTTTTGTCTATAATTTATTTAATTCATTTTCAACATCTATAATGAGTGTACTGATATACAACTTAAATCCCCCTCCCCCTTATATATTAATTCAGAACGCGCTGAGCCTACGTGGCTGCTTCTGGTGCTTCGGAATCCTATGTGGCAAAATTACATGCTTCGTTATTAGGCTTGGATAAATTTTTAATTTAATTCCAAACCAAAAATAACTAGGTTCGGAGTACCATAAATATGTTGATTATTTATGGTCATGTTACATGTATTAATTGCATTTTAATATCATTCCTTATTATAACTATTGAATTGTATATATATTTTAAAAGTTAATAACTTTTGTATTTTTTATCAGTTTTACATATGTAATATATCAAATTAATCTTCTTTTGATGAGCTTCGATTTAACATTCATATTGTATGTATAAAAAAAAAATTTATATTTATCTTTATAACAATAATAAAATTATTTTTAATATTAATTAAAAAAAATAAAATTATTTATCAACTAATATATTTATATTTCAAGTAGTTATATGATATCAGTTATAAGAACTAATATAATATAACACATGTAAGTCATAAGTGACACATATCATTCTAAAATATATAGTAATATATTGTTTTTGTAAAAAAGTAAACTAAATTTAATATAGACGGAACTAGTCCGATGGAGTAGATAATTTCTTTGTTTTATTCTGTTAATTTTAAAATTTAAGAAAATTTTTTAACAAGCACCCGTGTAATACACGGGTGTTGTACTAGTATATATATATATCTCTTATCTCTCTTATATCTTATATGGGGAAGTGAGGCCATCTCGTTGCTCGACACGTGTCGGTTTTGTCTACTTCGCTGCTCGACACGTGTCCCATTTACTACAATCATTTTATTTACGTTTTTGTCATTTTTTTATTGACTAAATTACCCTTCAAAAGCTATACTTTTAGGGGTAGAATGGTACATGAACCAATCAACTTGATTTGAGGCGGTGGAGATTTGTACTGATTGAAAGCCCACTTGATTTGTACATGATAGCTACTTTTCTGGAAAAATAGATACCGGCATAAAAAGATAGAAGAAAAATATTGTTCATACTTCTCTGGAACCTTGCACCTCTTCCCTCAGATTTTATCTCCTCTCACCGAATTTTTGTCAAACTCGCCGGCAAAGCAGCTTCGAGATGGAGAACACTATCTTCTCTCTCACACGCAAATCTTTTCCACACGAAACACACAGAGCATAACGATTACACAGGTTCCCGGGTTCGACGATCGCGTGGCGGATAGAACCAGAGCGGCGGCATAGCTACATGGGTCGTTTGGAAAAAAATAAGTTAAAGGCGATTGAGATTATTAAATCAACGATCGAGGACGGTGTGTAGGCAGGACCAGTCTCATCTGGCCTTATCCGGCAATGAGGATCCCTGATTTGTGGGATGCAATCACCGGTGTTAGTGTCACTTACAACATTGACGGCGGCGTCCTCGGCGCGGACTACCGCACCAGCACCGGTGAGGTTTGAATTTTTTTCATATATTTTCTTAATTCTATGTTTGATTTCTTGTGATTACGAGCTTTGAAGCATACCCAATGAGAACCTTCTCTTTTGTTATAAATTGTCGAAGGCTTAGATTTAGGGTTTTCGCAAAACCTCTGCTTGTTTGGCTATTTTGTGTGAACAAGTTTAACATTAGATCGTATTCTGGGCGTGGAAATTGGGGGACGCCCACTAATGAGATTATTCCGTAAATATTGAATCTTTTCTCTTGTGTATGTTGTTTGTTGCATTGTTTGTATAATGCTTGTTAATCTGTTTTCTTTTCACCAAATTTTGGATTTTAGGGAAACTGAGGAACCTACAAATGAAGTGAAGATTGTCGAAACTGAAAAGGAACCGGGGCAAGAAGATGCTGGTGATGCTAACAATGATGCTCCTGCTAATGAACAGGAAGAAGCCGAGCCCGAGGAGAAGGTATAATAGTAGTAAACATAGCAAATAGCAATGCTCTTTTTTGTAACTTTTCTAATTGTTTCTCGACATCCTGTTCAGTGTATTTTACAGATGAAGCCTTAATCATATTTGTGTGTAAATTCGCAGGAGATGACATTGGAGGAGTATGAGAAGTTACTTGAAGAGAAAAGAAAGGCTTTAGTTTCTCTGAAAGCTGAGGAAAGAAAGGTCCACTTGGACAACGAGCTTGAATCAATGCAACTTCTTATCCAACAAGAAGAACGATGATGAATTGTTTATTAAATTGGTGAGTAAAACTGGTCAATTACTCAATGTCGATAGTATATCATAGATATGTAGCTCGTTAGTGTGTTATTGTGCTGAAATTGTGAATAACTGTACAGGGATCTGATAAGGATAAGTGCAAAGAGGCAGCTGAGAAGGCAAAAAAGGTAATCTTTGTCCTTAAAGTCTAAAAGCATTATACTTATATCATAACAATAACTGAAATTGACCTCCATGACCTTTGGAATAATTCAACAAGCAAAGCATTATTCGTTAGTTGTAATTTTTTAACATGTAATTTTCATTAATTCACGAGCTGTTGGGCGTATTTGCATTTCTCATGGTGGTTGGGTATCATAGCTTCGACAAATGAATATGAGTGTTGACGACTGGAGGGGATAACATAGAGAAAATTTTAGAGAATTCCTTTTTAACCAAGCATGTTTCAACTTATAGATGTTTGTATACTTTAATTGCTGCATAACTGTTATCATGGATAGTAAATTATAGTTCAATATAGTTGGTTTACAATGCCAGCTTCTCTATAATGAGCCATCTTTAATTTTGATTCAGCTAATGTTGCAATTTAAAATGACTACAACTTTATAATTTCCTCATTGTGTTCTAAATTACTAACTTGTTCTCAAACATGACGGTGAAACTGAACAAAGTTCTGCTGGCATAATAGAGGAGATATAGAGGTCATCAGCCCGAAGCTTTTGGTTGTCGCGGGCAAGTGGAAAGTGTTTGACTCCGTTGTTACTATATATGGAGGACGCCAGAAAACTGGGCTGCAATTTGTCGAAGGAGTTGCAGGTCTGGCCCGTGGGCCTCTACAGCTCGGCATGAACCCCAACACCGTCATCGCCACCTCTGCACTCAACAGGTTTTTTGAGCTTCAAATTTTTAGAATAAGAGGAACATTGTTAACTATTGAGAGTTGTAATGGGCTAAATTTACAAGTAATTTTCAATTTGCATAAAATTTTGATTTCTTTGAAGTATTAAATCTATATATTTACTTATTTTCAGCTTAATCTATCATTGTCCTTGCCCTTAAACGCTGACCTCAAAGATTACATTTTTTTCATAAATTCATACTAAAATTGTTGTGATCTTATTTTCATGTGCCATCTTATTTGATTTAAGGGGGAAAAAATTGTTGGCATCTTCTTTTCAGTGGCATGTATTTACAATGGATATATGCTATTGCTTATGTTGGAGGAATTGTGGCTACATTCAACTATCGAATATCGATGGGTCGGTAAATAACAAATTAATCGCTTCATGTTTATGCTTTTTTTGTCATCAAGTTAACCACTTTTGTCCGAGATATGAATGATCCTAACAATTTTTCGGATTCCAATGGAATAATGATATTAATACAGTTAGAGAGGATAAAACAAATAACCATAAAAATACTGCATAGGTTGTTTTTGATATCTTATAAAATCAACTGTTTTGGTTTAGTGTGTGCTAGAGGGAGGTTATTCGATAATATGTTTAAATAAAATGTTGGTTCGGTGTTGTGTTTTCTTTTTAGGATATGAAACCGACTATTGTTAGCAGCAATGGGACTGAATCTGGTCAGATAATTGTGACTTCATTTGGCAGTCAAAATGGACATCCAAATAAGGTGATTGCTTTTTGTTAGCTGAATGTATCTAAACTTTTGGTTTATCCAGGATGGGTTTTCTTATCTTTTTTTTTTTTTGGTTATTCTACTTATGGATAAAAGAAATGCTTTGATATCTTAGTTCTTGAAAAATGTTATGGGATTTTAAGATGTTTGCAGAAAAATAATCCAATTTTCTCTTTTGTTTCCATATAACTTTTAATATGGCAAGAGTGTTTTGGTGGGATCGCTTCGGAGTTGTAAATTATTTTAGTAAGTTCTAAATGTGCTAGGTCCCTGCTAATGCAGGCCTCAAGTTCTGAAGTCCATCAAATAATTTTTCTTTATAAACTTTCTCAAAATCTCATGCCACAAAAACCTTCATTTACTGTGTTTCAGGATGTCACCAAAAGCATGAGAAATAAATAAATTATGAGGCAATCTACAAGATGTTTATCCTCATGGTTGATAGTCTTATCGGTTAATTAACAACTATTTCTCAAAATAACTAATTCATAAGGCATGTTGGAGTTCTTTAGATTTCTAAAATACTTTATCACGCATTTGCTATAAAACAGGCAATGACAGCCAGGAGTCCTAACATAAGGCTACGAACAACGCTTGGTAGAAATGCCGCAAGGTAAAGTACATCCCATATTTTTTCTTGTGATGGTTCAATTTTTGGATTTAGTTCATAAATTGTTTTAACAAATACTTTTTACTGCATATTCTTTATAAAATGCCCACTATTAGCTCCTCCAAAACCATTCAGGAGGCTTCTATTTACATGGGTGCTGGTAAAAGAGAAATTGAAGCTCGGCATGAATGTTGTTTGTGGTTTTGCTAGGACCTTTTCTGTTACCATTCTTTCTGAGTACAGGAACCTATTTTTCCCCAATTTCGTTTTCCTTTTTTGTTTTTTGCTTTCGATTAATTCATTAAGCCGGGGCTATATTTCTTTTGAGTTTCTATTAATGGAACAACCCGTGATGTGTAGTCATGGTCCAATTTTCGCCAAACTCCCAAATTCACATGATTCGGAATTGTTCATATGCATTTGCGCTTGCGGGCATAGATTGGGATACTGTGGTATTATTTTGGTTCACGGTTAAAAATACAACCGTAGTAAATTTAGTGACAAAGCTAATCGAAATATGAAAAAAAAATTCTCATAATTTCTCTAAACAAACAATTATACATACATTATAGACTAAATTTTGATTCGGAATTGTTCTTACACCTTCTATCGTTTTCTTAACAACCAGTGTCAAAATTGGAGATGAATTCGATTGATCATTGTAAGTGATGACAAATTCTCACTATATCTTAGTCCACAACTGTCACACCTTCTACCGTTTTCTTAACAACCAGTGTCAAAATTGGAGATGAATTCGATTGATCATTGTAAGTGATGACAAAATTTCACAGTAGATTTACACCGGGTGTTAGACCGTCGTGCGTGCACGGCGTAAACCCATCTAGTATATATATACAAACGAGTTTGGGCGATTGTGGTGACGACACGTGTCCAATTTCGACCTTTCCTTTGGTCGACACGTGGCTGTGACTTTTTTTCCCTTCATTTGGCCAAACGGCGCCGTTTAGGTGCCTTCATGATAGATATCTTAATTGACAGTGTCTTCTACTGTTGTACTGTTCCGATTTACGCTTTCTTATGTTGAATGAATTGTGTCGACATTTTCTTTCTTCTCTACTGAATTCCCGCACACGCAACGTTTCGGATCTGACAGCCACTTTTCCGTTTTTTCAGCACACGCCATCGGACCGAGAAAAAGATTGAAACTGAGATATATCCATTCTTCTCAATCTCAAACCCCAAACCCGCGGAGCTCTCTTCTTTTCGTTCCTCTCCTCCAAACAAGATTTCTCTTTTCCCTTCAAACCCTAGCAGAATTATTATGGAATCGAAAATAATTCCTCTTTCTATCATTCGCAAGTCTTCTGCAACAGAAATATTAATGAAATCGAAACTCGTTGTTCGTGAAGTGGACGGTGGCGATGGAGAAGGAGGAGGTGGCGTGGTCGGTGCAGTAGGGGCGTTTGCTGTGGGAGCTGTCGCGCGGCCTTGCGGATGAATCATAGGAGTCTAGGGCCATGGTGAAGGGACACCAGTTGAAGAGTTTGAAGGCGCACGATTCTATGGCGTGAAGGGAGTCCACTGAGCACGCCGTGGGCAAGGAGCTCCGCCGTCAACCGCTGCACTTACCTGATTCAGGGTCATCGCCGTCCTTGAAATGAACTGAAATGTGAATGAATGACTTACTGTTACTGCCTTATGAAGTGAATTGAGCTATTATGAGTGATAATGCTTATGAATTTCTGTTCTTTTATCCTCTACCCTGCATCAGACACTCGCACTCACATTTATTCTGGTGATGCAAATAGTTAATTGCACATTACTCCATTAAAGCCTTGTCTGTGATTAATGCCTCAACCGATACCTTCAACGTGTTTCAGGTGGCATTATCCTTGCACCAGAAGGAATCAATGGGAGCATATGTGGGACCCACCCGTGATTCGGTAGAAGAAGACGCCTGTGAGTCCAGAGGAAGAACTATCCACCTTGGGCATACGAGCAGCACGGCCCTTGCTGCTGGGGAAGATGCTCCATTTCGGTGGGACCATGTGAGAGTCAAGCTGAAAAAAGAGGTAGATTTATTATATGGAGAAATGGGACAATTTGTAATGGTTTATTCAGTTTGGAATATGAGTAGAAGCTACAGCTTTTTCGAACGTGGTTTGCAGATAGTGACTCTTGGGACGCCGTTTGTGTCGCCAATTGAAAGAGTTGGGACGTATGTGAGCTCCAAGGAGTGGAATGAATTGATCAGTGATGCAGACACTGTAAGGATCTTTTTCTTGTTTGTGCTCTTAGATCAATCTTGGCCGTTTGAATGTATGTTTTGAGGTTTAATTGAAGGCATACTATACTATGATTGAACTGTCATTAATTGACCTTGAAGAAAAAAAAAATTGTCTGGTTGCAAGAACCTTACACATGTTCTTCGAATTTCTTGGAGAATAATCCCTATGTGTACATAATTAATTTTTACATGAGTGTATGCAAACCATTCTGTAGACTTTATTATGTACTCATAGCAAAACCTTTCTTGAAAGTTATAAGCACAATTATGTGGGTGTCTGGACTCCTGACACAGTAGATCACCTAATGAAGTGCACATATTATTAATGCTATTTGGCAAAATACCCACCAAAGTGTACTCGAGATAATTTATAGCATATCCTATATGTACTGTTGACCACAACACACAACAGTTTTGACAGTTCACATTTGGTTCCTAAAAAAGTCATATGATCAGTGTGAATATCGAATGACTGAAGGTCCACGACACCTACCACTTCAGTACACATTACTATGTCTTGGTTAATTGCTTATAAATATTTGTTTGCAATTCATTGGTTGTTCTTTTAAATTCTCCTCATGTGCATCAACATCATATGTTCATTGATAATTCAAATGATGTTCATCAAAATCTTAAACTTCTGCTGCTATAGTTAGATCATCCCTGATTTTGCCAGGTGCTAATTGCAAAAAAATTACCTTTCAGTTCGACCTAATCACCGAGGTGCCTAACTATTTCGAAACAAATATGAAGGGGTCATTTGTCATTAATCATTATGAAAATTGGATGGGGCTTCTTCGAACCGTACTGAAGCATCAAGAGTGTTTTTCATATCGAGACTTTTCAATATTCTTGAGTAACATGTTTTCTGTTATATATATATATTTATATATATATTTATATATATATATATCTATATATTGGTAGGTTTATCATCTGCAAGGTGGAATCCTAAAATATCTAGAAGAAGTTCCGAAGACAGAGTGCCTTTGGGACAAAGAGTGTTTTGTGTTTGATAAACGGGTCTCAGTTGAGCACGGGCTCGTGCAGGGGACTCACAAGCTGTGTTACGGGTGCAAGAAACCCGTGAGTGA